AAGCGATTTAAGTAAGCATCTGATGTTAGTTTTACAGAAATGGGGTTTAACTTAAGGACAATTTTAATAGGAAGACCTGGTCCTGGTTTATACTTTATATATATTTGTATATATTTGTTCCATTAGCTTTATCCCGATTGTATTTACACCAACTGTCTTTACCTGTGGGACAATGCGGATAATGCTAATTATTTTTGATTGAAGATGCTACATAAAATAAACTTGCTGAGGCTGAAGATCTTATACCTTGTAGCTTTTATTGCAAAATCCTATTGGGATATTCACACATCAAAAAATGTAGCATGGTACAATATTAATAAAAATTTGGTGTGTGCCATGAAAACGCTTGGTCAAGGCAGGCTGGTTCACATCGGTATATCACTATTATGAATATCTTGATGGTATCTTGATTTTTATACTCTGACTTGCTAATTCTTCTCTGGTTCAATTAATTGCATCCAGAAATGGTATGCTGTCCTGGTATGATATTGAATCTTTCAAATATAAGGATACTAGATTTTAATCTATATTAAATGATCATCTGGAATGAACCAAGAATATACTTTAACTTGCTAATACGATTTAGGAACTTTTCGTATGATTTATATGTATGTTTAAAAATCATATATACGTCAACTTGCTAATACGATTTAGGAACTTTTCGTATGATTCATATGTATGTTAAAAAATCATAATACTATTTGAAATGATTGAAGCATCTCTTTTAGAAATTATTGAAGATGCAGATTCCCTTTGTATAGATATTGATTACATAAAACTTTTTTTTTGGTAGACACACAGTTGGTAATGATCCAGGTGACTTTCTATTATCTTTATGAACTATTAATTCTGGAAGATAATTCTTTTCACGAATAATCAGACTATAACTTTCTATTTGAGTCTTCAAACTTATATCTTTAATATACACGAATAGTAAAAGCAAGACTATCATCAACATATATTTCATACCAAGGACATAAGTGGATTGTGTCATTAAGTTTAAATTTTGCCTCAACAGGACTCACACTCACTGTCCAGTCAACTTGCTAATACAATTTAGGAACTTTTCGTATGATTTATATGTATGTTTAAAAATTATAATACTATTTGAAATGATTGAAGCATCTCTTTTAGAAATTATTGAAGATGCAGATTCCCTTTGTATAGATATTGATTACATAAAACTTTTTTTTGGTAGACACACAATTGGTAATGATCCAGGTGACTTTCTGTTATCGTTATGAACTATCAATTCTGGAAGATAATTTTTTTCACAAATAATCAGACTATAACTTTCTATTTGAGTCTTCAAATTTATATCTTTAATATGATCTTTAAGAATAATGGCTGTTAGATTTTTCCTCCAAGGAGTATTAAAACTATTTTCGAGAATGTCTCTTCACAAGGATTTAGAAAAGGTGAGTAACGGGGTAAAAAACGAATATCATAGGGATGAATCATAAAAACCTGATAATAAATGATGAAAGTTAACGTTGCCCATCACCAAGGTAAACTCTTCTTCCTCCCCTAAAATACTTTTAAGTGTCCTTTTTTAAGAATCCTTTAAAGATATCTGCTGTCACCCCTATGCCAATTATTGCTTCACTGTGGACTATGTTTAAACAATTTAATGTTTATATAAAGGTTATGTTACGGTCTTTTGATGGCAATACACTTTGATTTGTCCGTGGTTTCTTATCATATGAAGATTGAAAAGACTTTCATCAATATAAATAGTATTTTTGTAATGTTATTGCAATTTCAAGTTAAAATATGTACAATTCAACTTTTTTAACCATCGCCATAATGTAGAGACATTGACATCAATTCCAATTCTACCTTTATCTCCTGCAGATTAGTTTCTGTTATCTCCATTTATCTCGTGTAGCTTATTTTTTATTTCCTCAGTACAATCTGACTGTCGAATACCCCTTCTAATACAAGGATTGATATTACCTGTTGATAAAATATCGATGGACCAGGTGTTTTATTGAAAGATTACAAGATTGATGTTCGAATTACTTGCTTCAACATTAATTTCTGAGTATTGTCTTCGTGTGTTATTCAATTTAGAGTTTTAAAAAATTTAAGAAAAAAAGGGCTTAAATTGTATATAAGGAAGTTAAATGAAGCAATAAAAGCAAAACTATTTATAATGATTAAGAAAAACCGCCAAATTAAATGATAAAAACCATCAGATTCGTGCAAGAAACCCCCCAGGTAGAATACAGAAACCGGTAGATGTAGGAAACTTGGATATCAAAACTCGCTTATGCCACCTAGAAGTAAAATTTAGGTGAAAATGCAAATTAAACAAACAGCTCTTAGACCAACAATCGACGAATATAATTTTGTGCACTCTGCGGCAAACAAGTCACTAAAAAGTTGCTAACAAATAGTTGATCAAGATAATAATGCAAGTAGTTAGACTATTTATTTTTAACGACTATGTTATATCATACAAATCAAAACAGACTTTTGAACAGAATTTAGCGTTATTAAATGAAATCATTAAGACAAGAAAATTATAACAAACAAAAAACTTTAAGCGTTTATTTTTTTATTAATTTCTATTAAACACCCAGTAATAAAATTACAGGTAAATTAATTTATATTAAAACAGTTACAAATTAAATTCTCGGCTCTCCAAATAATTGTCTTTAATGCCAATAACTAGACCGACTAGACGGTTAGATCTATTTTAGAAATATTGTCCTCCATCATTGTTTTAAATTTTTCTCGTTGTTCTTTTAAGTTCCATAATTGGAACGCTTCTTTTAATATTGATATAGTATCAGCTTGCAGTTCTTCTTGAGGTAGTGTGAATTTAATTTTTTTACCTTCTATCAAGCATTGAAAGATGTTCAAACCACGAGTTTTACATATAGCAACCACTTCATTTATAAATGATTTTTTATTTTGTTGCCAGTAATTGACTAATTATCAGCGAATATCAAGTTTGATTTTTCATTAGCCTAATTAATAAGTTTACTTTATTTCGAAGAAGAGTAGTTAAAATATCTTCTATTTTAAAAAAAGAATGTAGAAATACAAAATAATGATTTTAAAACTGCTTTTCCAACAGCGTATATGTTTCTTAGAACTAACGTCATAGTTGCATAGCTCAAGGCCATATATAAGCTTTGGCACTGTCAAGGTATTGTATAAATGGACTATTGTTGACGGCTGACAAAAACGACACTGTCAATTAGAGCTATTGCAACCGATTGAAACTGCGTTATACGTTCATTTAGATTTGTTTTTTGAAGTGTTGCAATTTTGCTTTGGCTGGTATCGTTATCCCATTGGAAACCCAGATGTTTTAATTTATTTTGAAGATGTATATTAGTTTAGTTTAAGGTTTATTTAAATATTTGTGTACTATTATACATGGTCAATTACTATTATACATGGTCAATTATATCAAAGCAAGTACCCCTGGTTGCCAATGACTCCCACAGTACATAAAGTTACAGTTCACTCAAAGCAAATAATGCAGAATACAGCACTTCCTGTTGGTTACTTCGAAGAATATGCAGCTGAGTCACGAAACAAAATATATAAAAGCGACAGACTACACTATGCACGTAAGACTAGTTGCATTGATAATCTTTTCGATGTATTTCATAGAGCTCTTGACACATCGGATCCATTAACTTCACCTCTTCGCTTAAATACACGTGTGCACCAAAGGATGCGTTCAACACTGCCACTAGAAGTAAAGGAATTATTGTATTGTGAGGATATCGGTGAAACATGTGCGACTGAGAATTTAGAAAATATGGATGGCGACGAGGACGAATATCCAGAACAATTTGAAGAGGAAAATACATTTTTGTATAATGAATTGTATTTAAATTAAAGATTTGAATAAAATTTTAATATTTTCGTAAATACATGGTAAATCATATTTTCAATTTCCAGAAACAACATATTTACTCGTATCGTTTCCTATTTTAGTATTTTCTAATTTAGAACTAAAAAAATAAAAACTCAGAAAGAAAAGAAAAAAAAATTCCATGTAAGAATTTTTATTTAAATTTTAATTCTGAATATTGATAGCTTTTAAAAAGAAAACTTATTTTATACAAAATCAATTAAAATATACTGCTTATTTAAATTCTAGTTAAAAATTCCGTTATTTTAAGATTAAATAGTTTTAGCCAAGATAAGTGACGTTTGCTGACGTGTTGTGGCCAAGAAAAGTGATGTCTCCGACCAATGTGCAATTGTAATAATATTATTGAATGAATGAAACTCGCTTCATACTAGGTAGTTATAGTCTAAATAGCTAAGAAATGGTGGAACGAAATGTATAACATTAAGTTAGAAAATTAAAATAGTTAAGAGATCGTACATTTATATTATTTTTTTATATTAATAATCTATTTAAATTTACATCAATATTTAATTAATATATTGATAAACAGTGAGGGTTATAATAATAACAGAAATCTTTCCGACTTTTGGTTATAAGTTTTTTTACTATTGCATTTAAAGTCGCATGATGGTACATATTGTTTTTATTCTATTCACAAAAACAAATTCATCTCTAATATTTGAAAAAGTGGTATGTTTTAGTAACACCCATTGTCTTAATTTAAAAAAAAACAAGAAGCCGTTAGAGCTTACTCTAAAACAGCCGGTGATGAGCATTTTCATAAACCACTCTTAAAAAAACATTTTAACAAGTTAAAATCTCTTTTTATATCTTAAACTATTTTAATGTATTTTTTACCTTGTAAACATATTTACAGAGGGTGTTTTAATAAAAAGATAATAATAATAGTATTTAGTCGCTTTTCGCAGTTTATTAAAATCGATGTTTTACTTTTATTTACAGTATTAACTAGTATGATTTTTAGTCTTTAAGTTAGATCTTTTAAGATAAGACGCACTATGAAGTGGTTACTGAGTGGAATAGTTTTCTTTTTCTTAATAATTTGAGTTTGGCGCGAAACTAAAATTATAGCTGACGTAGCTAAAGATTAAAAATCAAGTATTTTATTTAAATTTTATTTCAGTAAAAATATCCTAATATCTTCCCACCAGTGTTTTTTCTTCTTGCTTCTTCATGATCCATAATGCCTACCGATGTAGTCATTACAATATAGCTAAAAAATAAAAGTATCTTATAATACCAATAGATGTAACAGTAATAATAAATCAAAGAAAAAATTAAAAAAATAAACTCAGAAAAAGTAGGGTAAGTTTAACATCAGTAATCAGAAGCAGAACTGGCATTTACCCATTTCATCACAGTCACAAAAAAAGCTATTAAAAACTAACTTACCCAAATTGACGAGAAGGCATGAGATAACTTGCCCATTTTTCAATATCTTTTAATTTGACATCAAACCGAGGTGAAATGACACCACACTGAAATTAATCAAGGTTAAATTATTTTTATAAGGATTTTTTTTGCTTTGACTATTAGTGTATATTAAAACACTTTGCATTATCAGACAACAAGCATTTATCAACAACAAATTCTGAGACTCTAGTCTATTGAACTTGAGTTCATCATTAATGCAAATAAAGCATAAGAACAAATTTTAAAAGTGTTAAATATTAGACCTTATTAATTCTCCCATTCAAATTTACGATGATTTTACCGGCACGATGATCGTCAATAATTTCGAATTCCCCAATGTAACCTAAATTTATAAAATGCTTGAGCTAATCTTGATATATATTTTGACTATTACTATAATAAAAATATTATAATTAACTATAATTAAAATATTATAACATAATTTTGAAGAAATTTGACTTTAAATATATAACTGTTGTTATAATCGCGTTCTAGCTTCCTTATTTTACAGTCATAAGTCATTTAGTCAGATAAATTATAACTTTATCGTTTGAGCTTAATGCAAATTAATACATAATTATACATAACTTAAATTCAGATATGCTTTAAAGGAATCATAATATTCATAACCCAGTGCAAATCATCATTAAAACTTTTTTATAATGAAAATGTTGCATTAAATTAATACTATAAATGTAAAGCTCAGACAGCCAAGGTGTATATCAACATAGATGATTTAGAAAAATCTAGCGAATAACACATTTCTCTCATCACTGCTTTAAAAATGCAAATTAACAATAAAAATACAAATAAACAAATCTCTCAGCCTAAGTAGCGTGTTCTGTTCATAGGCAGAGCCTCGAACCAGAGGTGTCAGATTGCTAAATTCATCATAGAGATTTAAATATATGTATAAATGATTTATAATCAACTTACCATGCTTCATCATAACTGTAAGAAACTTCACAACAACTTTAGAAGAAGGTCTGATTAGAACTTGTCTTTTTCCTTTTCTTTCAGCATTTACCATGTTTTTAAGTGCATCATTTAACACGCTGATTCGGACCATGACGATGTCTTGTCAACTGATAAAAAATGAAAATATGATACGTTATAAGTTATGCTGATCTTCACTTTTAACGTCATATTTTCACGTACTGTGAAGTCTTTCTGCATTTTAAAATTCTCTTCGAAGTTATAAGCTGAGACGATGTATTTATACTAAAAGAATACTCTACTAATTATGACTGCTACTTCTTGTTTAATAAGTTCATAACAATTAACAAGAAATCCAATACGAAGTATTCTTATAGTTTAAACGCTATATTAAGTATCGTATACTAAAAGTTTAATAGAGATTCTACATTACAAAAAAGTATGCAAAAGATAATTACGGATTTAAGGTCCCACCTCACGCGTTGATGTGTCTACGCAAAAGAGATTTTTACGGAAGTTTAGTAATTTTATATGTAGATAAAGTCGCCTTTGAATTATAGAAATCGTATTTGATTCGTGTTCCGCATAATATCACACAAAAACTTTTTTTTGTAATTTACGAAATGGTCAACCTTTTATTAAAGATTTAACTTTTTTTTTAAGTTTATCTTTTATGTTTTAGATTTTTAATTTTTATATTTTTATTATTTTTAATTTTTTTTATTCTTATTATCTATTTTTTTTTTCTTTTATTTAAGTAAGTAAAAGAAAATAAAAATAAAAAATAAGATTAAATAATAAGAATAATTCTACAGAATAATTCAAAATAATTCTATATAATTACATATATATATATATATATATATATATATATATATATATATATATATATATATATATATATATATATATATATATATATATATATATATATATATATATATATATATATATATATATATATATATATATATATTTGCTCTTTCTTTAAATGATTTACAATATCTGCCGTTTTACAATTGCAATAATTTTAATAAGGGGTCGTCCATAAATTATGTCACACAGTTTTTGACATTTGTTTTGACGGTTGTTTTTTTGTTGCTGCACACTTTTGTGTACTAGCTAAATAAAGTTTTGCGCTTGGACCATATAAGGGGCCGTCCATAAAGGATGTTACCATTTTTTAGCCAAATTTTGACCCCCTCTCCCCCCCCCCCCCTTTTGTCACCGGTTTTCCTTTTTCCCTATACCCCCTGGAAATGGACGTCATAAAATCCTGACCCCCTCCCTATTTTTAACTCCAAAAAAATTTATTTTATCTTGCTCTGATGTTTGAATCTGCTGCTTTACACCTTTAAAAAACAAAATTAAAAATATTCTCATACATTATCTTCTCAAAAACATATGTTTACGTAGTTTTCCATGTTAATTAAACTAAAACAAAAAATCTGTAAAGTGACGTCCTTTTCTGACAACCTCCCCCCTCCCCTTGTATTTTTGTCCTTTTTTAATCAGATACTCTTTTAATTAAAAGAAAATCTCCTCTAGATTTAAAACTTAAAAAAAATGTGGCGTCACAAAATTGAGATCCCCTCCCCCAAAGCGTGACGTAATTTATGAACTTATGATCCCTAAATAATAAAATTTTGACAAAATTATCTTTGTAAGAGAAAGAAAGCGGAATCTTGTAGAAGGCCTTAAATTATTGTCGTCGAGAAACTTTAATACTTTTTTCAAGTTTAAAAAAATAATAATAAAAAAATAACTTCACTGTTAAAATAATTAAATGGTAAAATAATTTTCCTATTACATATTTCTTATAAATCCTTATTTTAATTAGCGACTTGAATAGTAATTAGAACTTTAGAAAGCATTTTATGTTTAAAATATTGTTTTAAGTTAAGGACATATTACTTTATTTGTCTTTTGTAAATGGGGCTGTCAAAAATTAAAATGCAATCTTGGGTATTTGTCGAACAAATGGGTGGTTGCACGGGTACTCATTAAAAGACCAATTTTGTTTCATAAAATTTATACTTTTAAAAATTTAGTGAAATTTTTTTATTCAAGGTGTTATTTATTTTAATAACTTTCATTTAGAGATGTTTTTGTTATTTTAAATATGTGTTTTTTAAATAAATATGTGTTTTTTTTAAAGTTATAATTTTAAATATGTGTTTATTGCAATTATTTTAAAAGTAATGTATAAAGGAGAAATAACAACAAATATCTTTTATAAAACATTTTGACAATAAACAAATTGATGAACGCTAATATTTAATAAGTTTCAAAAAATTGCATTTTCCAGGTTTCAAAAGAGTTCTTTTTTATTCTTTTAAGGTTTGTTTTCTATATTTTCCAGGTTTCGAACGAGCTCTTCTCCAACTCATTTATTAGTTTATTATCTCTTTACTCGTTTATTATCTCTTTACTCGTTTATTATCTCTTTACTCGTTTATTATCTCTTTACTCGTTTATTATCTCTTTACCTGTTTATTCGTTTATTATCTAACATAAACTAAACTAGTTTGTTTATTAATTTTTCTTTTGGGTAAAGCTAGCTTTGCCCAAGAGACAAACTAGTAAACAAGTCGGAGAATTTCTGATTTAAGTAAAGAAAAACATTGTACACAAAAAAGGAATGATTTAAAAAATGAAGTGGGTTTCGGAATCTGAAATTCAAATAACTTCACTAACATAAGTGTCATGTTCAATGTTTTCAGAAGTTCTGACGGTGATTAAGAAATCGTAACTTTTAACATTTTTAACGAAAGGAATTTCAAAATCTTCTTTCACTTACCAAATTGTTAAATTGTGACGGTGATGAAGAAATCGTCTTCATCGTTAAAAATTTAACTTTTAAATTTTTAACGAAAGGAATTTCAAGATCATTATTCACATACCAAATTGTTAAACTGTGACGGCGATAAAGAAATCGTAACTTTTGATATTTTTAACGAAAGGAATTTCACGATCTTCTTTCACATACCAAATTGTTAAATTGTTATATTACGATTTTCCACTTAAAAAAAAAATTAAAAAAATGAATTTTAAACTGATAAAATATAGTATTATTTTTTTAAATCCACATCAATTCCTAAACGTGTATTATGTGCTTGTATTTATCAATAGCATTTTTCAATAGCATTTATCGATAGCATTTATCGATAGCAGAATATGAATGTTTTCAAAAACCCACTTTAAAAAAAATAATATACTAATTCTTGTTTCAAATGTTGTTTACTTCAAAAAAGATAATATGTTATTTCTTGTTTCAAATGTTTGTTACTGAAACAAAATTGATTTTGGATTATAATGCCCCAGCTATAAAGAATAGTATTAAAAGTTATTTTCTCAAAACACTTTATTACTTCTCTATACTAGTGTTCAGCTTTATATTGCATAACTTTATTCTAATTAATTTAATTGTAAGCATTATATTTTAGTTGTATATACTCTAGGATAAATATTTAAGTGACAGGAAAAAATTGTGCTATCTTTATTTATTCTGTTTCAAAAAATCCTGTTGGACTGTCAATATTTCGTATTCCGAATAAAGCGACGAAAATAGCATAAACTTAACACAGCAGTGAAAATACACGTGATAGAATTTAAGTATAATTTGTAACTCCCATATAAAAAATATATTATAGATGCAAACATTTCATTGACTGTATAATTAGATGGATGTCTTTGGATATAAATAGTACTATTTATTCAGAGTATACTTATTTGAATAATATGACTATGATTTGAATCATTTTTATAAAATAGATTATAAAGTCTATTTAAATACGCAATTTTTTCTGAAGAAAAATATTAGGATCAGAGCCGTCCCGATGGGGGCAAATTGGACAATGGAGTCGACAAACTCGGATTTATAGTTGGCATTTGGCAAGTATAGGAAAACGAGGACACGTCACCCCCCCTTCCCTTGAAAATCTCTTCGGGACGGCCCTGATTAGGATCAAAAGAACTTACGATTGCAAAAACTATAAAGCTATTTTGAAACAATATAATAATAGGATAGCAAAATTCTAGTTTTGGTATTTGCAGATATTTTTGTGAGTGCTATGTTCACCAAATTTTACATAAGTAACAATATGAGGTCGTGCTTTTAAAAAAAATGAATATATTTTTTATTTAGTTGCTATGCATACCTAATTTTGCATAGCAATAACTAATTTTTATTAATTGCACATGTTTTTTTTATGTTATGTACACTATTTTGCACGTGTTTTATTGTGAGATCCTCGCTCGTGGAAAGCAAAACTTATTTAATTTTAATATGATTAACTAATGTTATTACACGTGCTGTTACACGTTGCTAGATAAACTTGTTTACCCGTAATAAAATTTATATTCCAGCTTAATTAGTTAGTTTTTCTAATTAGCAGACTTTACGAGCGTCTAGAGAATATTATAAATTTGTATGGGTTTATTGTTCTCATGCATTCAGAATCACCAAAAATCTTTGAAAATGCACGCTAAAAGTAGTATAAGCTTAACAAACAATAACTTATAAGAATTTGTAGCTGACAAAGTTACAACTTTTCTTTTGTTAGTTTTTAATGATAATTCTTTAATCGATAATGTAATCAGAAGCCATGGCGCAGTGGTAGCGTGCTTGCCTCAGGAACGTAAGACCAGTGGTTCAAAACCCACATCTGGGCAAGCTTTTGCGACATTTGTTGGGAAGGAGGCGTGAACTTCCTATTGAATGCTTTTCCGCGGTGCTCTGTGATAAGACCGTAATACCATGTTCACACTAGCGATGTTCGGCGGAACATTATTCCGGAACAAATGTTCCTGGAACAAAATGTTCCACAAAATGTTACTTGTAGCGTTCACATGTAAAATTGGCTTGACGGTACATAAAAGAAAAAACGAGTATAAAAACGGTAAGTAAAACTCGAATAAAAATTAGTGAAAAACAGTTTGGCAAATACACATTGTTAATATAATTTATTAATTTTTAATATTTATTCATTTATGAGAGGTAAAACTAAATGCAAATAACGCTGAGGGTTCAGCTAGCTTAGAGTTAGACAATAGAAACCCAACCCAAAAAACCCGCCATACAAAAGGTGACGTTGGAATTTTGTTATCCCGTTTCTTGGCTTTTATGGATAGGTCGTATCTCCTTTAGTCGCTTTTGACGACACAGAATAGTAGTCCATCAGTGGTATAGTACCGAATAAACATATTATACATTAATATGTTACCCACGACCAGTTAAAACTAATCTCATTTTGTGTTCATACATATTTAATATTTATTTATTTAGACACATTTGATAACCTCAAGGAAAGTAAGTTTAGTTCAAAACTACTAAATACATAACCATATTACAGCTAAAACTTTAAATAATAAATGATATTATTACTACTTTATAAATAAAATAATATTATTACTACTTTACTTGTCCCTTTCATAAAGGTATTTAGCAATTGAGTCACAAACATTTTTTCCTGGTCCATTATTCCCAGTTGTAGAAACTGTATTGGGTTGAGCTAGACTGTCATCATGATGATGCAGAAGCCATTCTATTATAATAATATCGTCATAATGTTCACAAATGTTGTGAAGAGTGACGCAAGCATTAACAATTCTTGTAGCAAAGTTAATATCGCATTCCATACGTTTGCAAATTACACGGAATCGAGCTTTAACGCGCCCAAAGGCATTCTCAACTACTCTTCTAGCTCCGCAAAGTATTTTGTTGAAATTTTTTTGAATTTCACTAAGCTCCAAATTTTCAGGATAAGGTTTTAACAAATGACGCGTTAAAGGAAATGCTGAATCACCTTTCAAACATAGTGGAACAAGAGAATCGCCCAGCTCTTTACAACATTTATCAAATAGATTTGATTCTAAAATTTCTTTCAAAGAAGAATTCTGCAAAATATAGCTGTCATTATTTCTACAAGGCGATCCAACACTTGTATAAATGAAACGGTATCGACTGTCTACAACGGCATTCTTGGTTTTCCACGCATTGTGGAAAACCAAGAATAGCTTCGAAATCTCTACTATGTTTATTTAAATTTTCCACTGACAATGGAAATTTAACATACTTAGGGAGCAAAATGTCATTAACAGCATTAATAAATTCATGAACAATTAAATTTGCTGTTGACTTTCCTATGCCAAAAAGGCTAGACACAACACGATACTCTTCACATGAAGCTAGATAATGTAATGCAACTGCAACACGTTTTACTACTGAAATAGGTTCTCGCATAGTTTTGGTAGTTTTGCCTAAATGTGGATGCAATTTATTAACTAGGAAATTAAATGTGTTACGATTTACTCGAAAATGCTCTTTAAATTCACATTCCTCCATTTGAGTAAAAATCTCATTAAACCATTGAGAACTTTTTGGCCTAACCCAAACTTTTCTTTCAATCAGATACCCTTGTTGATTTAACTTAAAGGAAGCTAAATCTAAATATGAAAATGGGTGGGTGATTGATTCATCATTGATTAATGTTCTTCTTCTTAATCGAAGTACGGCTAAAACGCTTTCCATGTTTTTCCAATAGCTTTTTCCTTTACCGATGTCTCCCTAAAAAACTATTAAAACTATATAAATATATTAAATAAATATAATACTTATTATATTACAATTCAAGGGATATTAAAACACATTTTTAAAAACCATTTTGTTAGAATTGATACAGCATGATCTGTTAACAAAAACAAAAATGAAACGTGTAATGCAATTTGTATAAATTAAAAACAAAACACGTTGGCAAAAAACATATCACTATAATTCATCTACAGGCTTGCTTCATATTGCAAAAAAAAAATTATTTGGTAAAAATACTTAATATATATAGCATAGAGATACAAGAAAAGGTATTTATAAAATAACATGACAAATTTAAAAAATACCACCAGATATGCATTTTAATGCTTGAAATCACAAAATATTTTTATTTTATATAAAGTAAAAATTCCTTTGATAATAGTAATATGGTAACATGAAAAAATATATATAAGTAGAGCTTCATCTACAAGCTTGTACAATATTTCACTAACCATCTCTTTAGTTAAAACATTGAAAAACCTTATAAAATATATATTGCATAGAATTGTAAACAAGGTATACTGTTGAAAAAATACTGACCTTTCAACTTTAACATAATTACTAAAAAGATATCTTGACTAATAGAACACCTTATTTTTTTATTAAAAATTTATAATATTCTACTTGGGCTTTAGACACATCTACTTGGGCTTTAGATGCATTTTCAATTGCATCGCAAATACGCTCTAAAGCAACAACCTCTCTGATTCGTAGCTCTTGTGAACGGATTTGAACATCTAGATTTTTATTTGCTATTTTTAAATATTCAGAAGAAAAATTTGTTTTTTTATTTTTTCTTATCGGTTCAGTTTTGGCTATTTTATTCAAAGTTTTTTCATCATCAGAGCTCCTCCGTTTATTGCAGCCGGATGTAGATTGAGTTGGTTCCTCATCAGGAATAGTGACAATTGATTGCACATCGCTTGTATCATCCAAAGCTTCAGTATTTAAAATACTGACAGTCTCCTTGCCATCTTCCATTGTGGCAATCTGTAAATAAAATATACACATTAAAAAAATTACACATTTGAGAAATGATTATAAATCATGTTTCAATCAAAATTTATCTCTTGACTTTGAAAGACTTGACTTGAAGTCATTTTACTCCCTTACTTCCCTAAACAAAAAGGATCTATTTAGACAATAGCATTTTACAAATATCCCTTTTATAATTCAAAAACTTTATATTATATGTTTTTGATCTTTATGTTTTAAGTCTGCCAAATGTTGCAAAACTAAGAACCTCTTAAACCTTATTTTTTAGAAATAGTTAACATGCTTGTTTACATTACTTTAAAAATATATAGCACTTTAAAAAATACAACAATAAATTATACTAAACTTACCTGACCATCTTGAAAATCTTGAGTAGAAAAGTTTTGACTTTGAGATAAAAGGTCATTGTCAAGGGAAGCTTCACCACCTATTATTTTGGCAACAATATCGTAAGGCCACCATTTACTAGGAGCTCCTCCCGATGAACCAACTTGAAGTTTTTCTCGTCTATGAAAAATATACATTAATATAAGTAAATATAAGCACATCATTAACACCGTATAACATTAATCAAATAACTTTAAATGGACAAATTATTATTAACGAAATAATTATTAACAAAATTAACGAATTATTAACGAATAATAAAATAACAAAATATTAACAAAATAATTATCAACGAGCTGTAAATCTTTAATACTGAATAAGATTTAAGTAATTTTTAATATAACACTCAAACACTCAGTTACAAACTAAATTGCAATTAGATATTATTACACATGGTTAGTTTTGTAAAATACTTTCAGTATTTCAGTAAGGTATCAAACATTAAATGTAGAATATGTACATACCTAAATTGTTTCCTCAAATTACTAATTTTAGATTGAATTTGATATCCAGTTAACGGAGGTACGATATTAAATGTGTTTGAAAATTCAGCTGCCATTTGTTTGTAAATATTTGTGTTTCTTCTTGCAGATGTTAATGCATTGTAATTATCTTTACATAAATCTAATAATACTCTTGTGTTAGCCATATTCCATACAAATTTATTTAAAGGAGATGTGCAAAGACCAATATTTGTTGTGCTAGCGTCAATACACTCTTTTTCTGAATGCTGAGACATTGTGTAAAATTAAAGTTATACCTACTAAAAAGGATAAGTACATTGAATCTTGCAACAATAACAACAACAACAACAAAAAGAAGAGAAATAGTTAATAATAAAATTAAAGGTTAAACTTCATAATTGCTATAAATGTTATGGGCTTAAAATAAGTTAATAATGTTATGGGCTTACTAAATAATTTAATAAATTGCCAAAAACTGGTAGCCAAGAGAACAGAAACTTTCAGATGCTACTTTTACTTTTTTTTACTTTTCCATGCAATGTGATAATTATGTTATTTAATAACATTGATCTTTCAACACTATTGTTTATTTTTATTTTTAAATGTCAATAATTGTAGTATATTGTGGCAAAGATATAAGGTACAGTCATATCAATACAGTCAATCAATAATTCTGAATAAAGATTCTGAATAAAGATCTTATTTTCACAATTATTCACAAACAGTAAAATAACTAATATTAAGTAAATACAGAATATTTATGAGGAAAATACTAATGGTAATGTTCACAAATTAAAACAACAAGATAAGATAAAGCTAATATAATAAAATATATATGACATATAAATAAAATATACGACAAAGCTCATATATAACAATATATACCAATAATAATATCAATAATAATGTTAATATAAATAATAATAACAATGATGATAATAATGATAATAATATTAACAATTGTTATTGTTGTTATTTTTATCATTATTATTACTATTATTATTCTATTATTATAATTATTATTATAATAATAATTATTATTTTTATTATTATTATCACTGTTGGCAAGGCCAATGATAAACAAATCTGCTTATTAGTTCAAAGTTGAATTTTATAAATAAAATTACTATAAGTTTATTAAAAATGCATTAATAGCAATGCTTGCAAAGAATATAATTAAATAAAAACTATTAAACAATGAAAATTAAACTTTCTTAACGCAAGTTAAATGTTACCTTGAATTATACTTCTTGTTAATTCAAATTAAAACTGATCTTAATAAGAATAATACTGTCTTTGTAATGTTATATTTTAAGATTAAGTTTTTAAACACACATATATAACTTCTTTTTAAATTAATAATATACTAATAATTAAATTTCTATTCTATTTATACAAATTTTAAATATCGTTAAAAATAACTTGAAATTTGTGATGGTCAAATAATTGTTTTTTAAACAATTGCCCACCATCTGGTCTACTCATGATTGATCCCACACGAGTGGGATCGGAATTTCCTTGGTTGCATGAAATTACCACAAGTTTTTACTCAATGAATAAATATATGAAATTATATTTAAAGAAACGTTTTGAATTAAATAAAAAAGATGGAAGGCAAAAACTAAAAGTTTCAAGGCAACATGTTGAAAGGCAAATAGTATATCGATAATCTTGTCTTGATATATGACCAAGACCTAGGACAATGCAGAGATCAAGGACTAAAAACTCTGGTTAAGATGACAACAACTTTGTAAAAAAAATAGTTTGAGTTACTTTTACAACAAATTTGCATCTTGCAATGTATTTTTATTGAATCATTTAGCTTATATGCATACGCTTATTTTAAAAATAGTTGAAAATAGGCACCATTTTTTATACAAAACCAAATAAATGTTCCGGAACATTTATTTGTTCTGGGTTGGCGGGACGGTACAAAAGTTCCTCAAATGTTCCTTGAATTTTTGTTCCGTTTGCGTTCACACGAGAGGATATTTGTTCATGTTCCATGTTCCACGGAATGTTCCATCAAATGTACCCTTGTGTGAACAGCCTATAAGGACTTCTAAAATCAACTTAGAAAAATAAAATAAAATAACATTGTTTCAACTTGTTAAAATCCAGATAATATATAGAGTTATAATATAAAATTTTAAAAAGCGCAATATTTTATGTAAATGTTATTTATTTCTATCGATTTTCGACAACATTTTCTCTTTATAATTTTTTTTTCTAATTTACATTCGCGTCTACTTCAACCACATCATTAGTATATTCATTAAAACTTTCAGTGTATACAAGCGGTTTTAATATGTTTTACAATATCTATATAATGGTTTGAAACCATTTAGTCATCAAAATTCTGACTTTGGTTTTCATACTTTTGTCCAGTCAGTGGCCCACTGTGGAGTGTATCGATCCGCAAAGTTTGTTAAACGAATCGCATGTTTCTGACGGCGATAAAGGCATTTCAACTTACTTTTTTCAAGGCTTCTCCATGCAACATTAGCATAATTTAAACAACTATGAACTAATGAGAAATAAAATTGAGTTAGACTTTTTTTACATAAATATGTTCTGGTTTTTTATTTCAACATTATCAATTTAAATTTAAGGTAAACTTCGGGGTAAATAATTTTTTCTTGAGACTGGGTGGAAAATAACCCAATTTGTTTTTTTTAATGTTAAGAGTTGGTTTGTTGCATTTAAACCATTTGGATATACTTTTAAGTTCATCATTCATAGTATAGAAGAGTTTGTAAATGTCTTTTTATATTTGTATAAGGAATTTTGTTTGCTTGATTGGGACTGATATCAACAAAGAATTTATTAAACTCATGAGCTATAACTCTTAATTTGCATATATGTTTGTTATCAACTATAATCGTTTAGGGGAGGGAACCTGAGCATCTTTTTTGTCTATCATTAATTTCATTCATTATTTGCCTCATGCATTTTGATTTTTTTTCAATTTTTTACGAACTGTTTCAAATAGGTATTTGTATACTTTATATATTTTTTCATTTGCAGATGATTTTGTTTTAACGTATTTTGTATAGAGGTGTGCCGGTGTTTCGTTTTTAAATTACAGCGTTAAAATTTTACTGCGCGGAAGTTTTCAACTATTTAAACTTCCTTTGCGGTAAAATACTGAGGCAATAATATTTTAACGTTAAAATTTTACTTTTAATGCTGTGAGAAAGCAAATTTCTTCAAGATTTTTTTGGCATTCAATTGTGGAGGATATCACCAAACATGTAGCTCAATGTGAACGATGCCAAAAAAACCTCTAACAGAAACCTAAAAGTGTCTCCTGCTTTAAAACCTGTTAAAGTTGAACAAAAAGTTATGAAACAAGTTGGTCTAGATTTGATTAAATTACCTGAATCAAATGGATTCAATTATGTAATTGTCCTTATAGATTATTTTTCTAAGTGGACTGAAACTTTCATGCTTATGTATAAAAATAGATTCGCTGGAAGTTATTTTAAAACGATTTTTATTTTTTTGCTTTAAAAGTTTCAAAAGTTTATAAACATTCAAAAAGTTTTTAACCAATAAACGCGAAATAAGACAAGTTAAGTGCGATAAAAAAGTAATATATTTATTTAAAAATATCGAGTTTTATATATTAAAATACAATGTAGGATTAGATAATCTTAGGTATAATTACAAATTCTCAGAAATAAACTTCAATACAAAATACAATTTTTAACAAGAAACTAAAAAGTTAATTAACTAATATTAATGTAAAACATATATATTTTTATAGGCATACGTAAACGTATTGTTGATCTTTACTTTATATTACGCACGTTTCTATATTTAAAAAGTTTTTTCTCGTTTGCTTTCTCATCTGACAAATTACCATAAAACAAAAAGAATTAAGAAATTCGTCAGTTCATCTTTTGAAAAGCACTTTATGCATTCTTTGCGGTTTGAGTCTTTAGAGCTTTAATTCAAACAAAATGTACATTTAAATAGGCACAAGGTCCATAGATAAAAATAAATAAAATAACAGTCAATAAAAAGAACAGATACAGTCATCTAAAATTATCCATCATTTGGACAGTCCTAATATTCTGTTAATTAAACCGAAAGTGAGGTTTCTTTTGGCACACTCAACAAGCTGTTTCTTTAAATTGATCCTATAGTTAAATAAAATAGTCTCAAAAGTTGGGAGCCTTAACTCTAAAAACATCTGAGTCAGACTGCAATATTTTCTATATCCAAAAAACATTTTTGAACATTTGTTATAGCAATATCGTAGGTATGCTAATGTTCTTGTGCTAAAACTGTTCCATAGGGAAGCATTATATATACATATACAATGTGATTGGAATAGTCTAACTTTGACTAGGCTTGAACACCTCTAAAAGCGCCTCATTAGCATATTTGTTTGAGTATAAAGATTTTTTATCTCTTTTTTTATATCAGTATCATCTGCTAGATCATTTCTCACAACATGCAGGGGCGGACTGGCCATGTGGAAGATGTGGACTATTCCACATGGGCCGTTGTTAAGTACTTTGTTTTTACGTATATGTATTCTAATAAATTTTTTCTGTTCGATATTTATTCATTAATGTATATATTTATAAATTAAGCATAACTTTGTAATTTACGTCTGTTATCTTTGCTGCTTTTCCTCATTTTTCGTTGGCCTACAGGGCCGTTAAAAATATTTTTCCACATCATAATAATTTGGCCAGTCCGCCCCTGACAACATGACCAAGGTATTTAAAGCTGTCAGCAAATTCCAGATTGCAACCTGCTACACTCAATTTTGGAAATGACAACGACACAATTTTTGATTTTTGCTTAGGGTTAAAAACCATACAAACTGTCTTCTTTGTGTTAAAAGACATTAATTAATAAGGCTTCGGTATTAATTGCATTCAATAATTTTTGTAGAGACAACCATGATAGAGCTATAAGTACTACGTCATCAACATAAGCAAGAATATTGAGAGAAATCCCTATATTGCAACCAATACATATATTTGAAATTTTAAATACAAGATTACTAATGTAAAACCTAAACAGTAACAGTGATGAAACACCACCTTGTCGCACACCATTTCCTATACTAAAAGAAGGAGATTTAGCTTTCTGTCAACTAATACACATTTCCTGGTTGCTGTACCAGAATGCAAGCAGACTTACAATATTATTTCATATTCCTTGATCTAATAGGTTACAGAACAGAAGCCAGTAATCAACCTTATCAAATGCTTTATTAAAATCTATAAACGATGTAAACACGTGACTACCTCTAGATGTGTGGTAATTAATAGCTTTCTTTAAATAATTTGTGCATAAGGTTGTAGAAAGTTTTTGTTTAAAACCAAACTGATAATCATCTAAATTGTCTGGTATATTTATTTTCTGTAACAAAATATTTTCAAATATTTTGGATATAGCTGGAGATATAACTGTTCACATCAGTTAGGTTGGTCACTTTGCACTTCACCAAAAGAATAATCAAAGATTCACAGAACTTGGATGGTAAATATCCATGTCTTAAACAGAGATTAAAAACATACTAATTAGAAGATGTAATCTTTTTCCACCATATATAAAAGCTTCCATACATATACCATCAGGACCA